ACCACAAAGATATTTATCAGTGACCAGAAAAATATAAATCAGTAATGGCAGGTTGTTACCCTTCCCGAAAAAACATAAACTTTGCCTGTTAAAAATACATTCAATGATTTCAAAAACAGACTTTTTATAGAATAGGAAGAGAGCAAAGAAAAATGTCACAAAAAATTGAGCTGTGCTTTTATGTGAAACCGCCACTCCTTTCACACAAAACCACCCGCTCATCCTCCTTGTCAATCTCCATTGTCATCCCTGATAATTCCTAGGAGCTGCCACCAATTGATTCCTTCTTGAGTGGAGGACCCTGTAAAATTCATTATTTTCTCAATCACTGACAATGCTTCAGTACTTATGCGACAGGCAGAATTGACAGGATCTTCTCTCCAGTCTGTGTGTTTGTACTTGGCAGATAAGAACAACAAGGCAGATTTGCATATATCCATACAGAATCAATCCCCAAGTAACATTGGTCCTCACTATGTGCTCAATACTATGCTGGCTTTGTACGAGATATAGTTGGATTTTATTCCTGTCCTCAAGGAACCCACAAACTAGTAGGATGAATATACGCAGAATGAAGGACTTACCCTTTGGATTAGGACTTTTCAATTTACAAAGTGTTTTCACAGAGACACTTTCGTTTGATCCTTACAACAGATCCTGGAAGCAGCACATAGTGGCTATAGCAAGGTAAATCCCGAATTTGGAGCTACAAAATGAGCTTGTGATAAACTAGACGGGAATCTCCCTGACTTATAATCATTCCTTGGGTGGCTAAATAGGTGGGTATAGTCTCAGGTGGGCAACAGCGGATTGTGATTATGTCCAAGAGAGCATAAATCCAAACTGTTATAAAAGATATGATCTGAAAAATATGTTTATAGAATGTGTTTTTTTAACTGACCCCTGCTTGATAGACTAGCCAGATTGGCTGATGTGCTGTTTTCTCTGTAAGACATCCTGACGAATGCCCACATCTCGCTAAAAACTTCTGGCTAGTAGTCCAGTCTCTTGTATGCTTATCAATTACATTATAGGCTTTCCTAGTGTCAGTTGGGTTTGTTCTCAAACCTGTTTATGCAAGTTGTGCTAATTTGTAATTATACGGCTAAATAAAATATTATGTTAACCAGTAAAATAATGAGTCCAAGAAAATATCGAGTTCTTGTTTTTATGAAAATTAAGTTGGGTGCTGTGGAAAAACTTGACAAAGGTGTTTTTATTAAAATAAAGTTGCTATTGAATGATACGTAAATGAGACAACTTGGTGATGAAAACTGTAAAAATCTAGAAGGATTCTGCCCTCATATTGCTTCATAGGGGTCTTTATATTCTTGCTCCACTTTAAAGAAACCTAGACTGGAAGTTGTAGATGATGCCTTATGGGTGGGCTTTATGCAAGGGAAAGGAGGTCGATTTTAAGTAAAAGGCCTTAGCCATATATCAAAAGATTGGCACAGAAAGGTGCATTTAAATGTTTTAGAATAAAATTTAAATGCATTCTTTTTTATAATTTCCTCATTTTTTCCAATGAACTCTTTTTCAATTTACTTTTTCAAAATATTCTACTAACAAACTATATTTCTCAATTTTGATAAATAAGAGGGCTTGTACTGAACTATATCTGCATGGGGCCTAAACAAAAGAGTCAAGGGTACAGGAGAGTAAAAAGTTGATGGTGTTTTCCAGGGCTGTCCCTTGGAGAGAGGAACAGACTCAAAATTATTGCCCCTGGGAGCCCCTAGTGAAGGATATGAGTGGTTGAGCTCATCATAGACTGGTGTCATGGCCACTGGGATTGTTCAAAATTCCCCTTGTTCTGATTTCCTCTCCCCTGAGAAATCCTCTATCTACAATCTGGCCATCCAAGCACATTTCCTCCTAGAAGAGAATGTGCAGATGAGAGAAGACTTGAGTCTTGATTCCTGAAGTTAACATTTTTCATTGTAAATTAGTAAATTATTACAATAATGTTTAATTTATAGGAGACAATACCTACTGCCTCTTCTGTTGCTTCTAGTGAAACATACCTTGAAGAGGGTGGAAGTCACCCAACAGTGTTAATATATCTGCCAATTTTTAAATGTTGGCAACAGATTCAAAATATTTTAATACTCATGTGATCCAAATGAAACCACCAATTTGCAGTCCATACTCTAGAATCCATGATGATGAAGGAGATACCTTATTTTATTTTATTTTTTTTAGTTTTGATATCTAACTTAGAGTCTGGGTCTTTTTTGGATCAGCAAATGTGTTTATTTGCCATGGATCGAGGACCTACTGTACACAAGACACTGTTCCAGGTGACTTGCACACATTCAAACAATCCTCATAATCTAACAAAGTAGATTTCATTTTCATTTTCGTTTTCTTTTTATAGGTGAAGAAGCAGAAACTCAGAGAAGTTAATTGACCCAAGCACGCACAGCTAGGCACAGCTGATATTAGAAGTCAGTTTTCTTTTACTTCAACATTCTTCTTTTTCACTAAAACTATCACATTATTAAATTCATCAATGTCTCCTTTTTCTGCAATTAAAATTTTTCTGTCACTCTAACTGTAAACCATTTTTTTTGTGTTATTTGGTACACAACACAAGTTAAAGAATTCCAGGAGAAATAAATACAACATATTACCAAGAGACATTCTGAAAGAAGACAGGGTCAGCTCTACAGCCAGATAAATGGGGCAGCGTCAATGGGCTCCAGGCTTGTGTGACCCCCTGAGATGCAGAGGTGCTAACATCAGGTAACATAGCACGTAGCTGCCTCAAGGAGAGTTAAACACATTTTGACCTTCCTCTGTGATACTTCAGTAGCCAACACAAGGAAAATTATTGATTATTAGCTGTTTACCATGTGTCAGGTAGTGTGCCAAGCATTTGAAATGCATTTAATTCTTACAACAAACCTGTGAAGAAACTAGGGTGCAGAGTTGAGAGGTCACATGACCAGTAAGTCACATACTCAAGGTCATATAACTAGTAATTTGAAGAGACCGGATTCAAATTCAGGTCTAGTCTGGCTCCAAAGTCCATGCCATTAACCACCTTGAGAATCTATCTCCCAGTTATAGTAACCATTAGTTGAGGGAATATTTTGTGCCAGCACTATGCTAAGCACTTCATATATATAAATGCATTAATGTATATAATCTTATTTCATTGAGTGCAGGAAGTTCTGTAGCACTTTGTACATCCCTTGATTATAGCTGGTTCTTTATCCTTTGGTTAGCATAGGGTGAGAGTGATGCAAGGATTTGATCTTAGTCCATGTTTCTTGTAAGTTACCAAGTTTTAGAGAGACGATTTGATATAAGGCAAAGGTGCAGCCTTTGAAGCAAGGCTGCTCTGCTCACATCTTGACTTTGCCACTTTCTGGTCTAGTAGCCTTTTACAAATTGTGTTACGTCTCTGAGCCTCAGTTTCCTCATCTGTAATAATAAGGATGATAGTATTTGCCTTGCAGAGTTTTTGTGGAAACAAGAAATGGTATTTGTAAGGGCTTGGAACAGTATAGGAACTCAATCAACCAAGATTTTTAATGCATGAATACATTGCTTGGCTCATCAGGAGCATTTGTGAAATGGTAACCATAATGACTGACACTTGTGTTGTAAATATTTGTTGATTCTCTCCCCCTCTTGATTGACTGATGGATTGATTGATTCAATAAATATTTATTCAGCACTACTCTATGCAGGCACAGAGCTAGGTGGGACATAAAATAGTGAGATCCAGATAAACACGGTTTTTGCCCTCAAGGAGTTTACATTCCAGTGAGGAAGACAGAAAACAAACAAATAAATGTATCAATGCATAAAATTGTGCTAAGTGCTGTAAGGAAACCCAGGATGTGCTGTGAGACAGAAAGGTGTGTGGAGTAAGGGGGGCCCAACTGAGATAGGGTGGTTGGAAAAGTCTGCCTTGAGGAGGTGACATTTAAGCTGAGACCTGAAGGAGGGGAAGAGTGGGAGAAGTTTGTCAGGAAGAAGGGAGCTTGATAGGACTGAGGACCGGAGAAGTGGCCTGTGTGGCTGGAGAATGAGGCCAGTGGGGCATAAAGAGGGATCAGGGACAGTTTGTGGGGCTTTGCAGGCCATGATGAGGGGATTGGATTTTATTCTGAGAGCCAAGGAAAGCCATTGGTGGGTATTAACAGGTGAGTGGCATGATTGAAATGGTGTTTTAACAAGAATCATTTTGGTTACACGGAAAACAGATGGTAGCAGGGCACGAACACAGCAAGGCAACTAGTCAGGAGATGCTCTTTATAGAGGTCTGGGTGAGGAAAGATGGTGCCTTGGACTAAGGTATGCCAGCAGAGGTGGAGACAAGTGGACAGCTTTTAGGTATACTTTGAGATTATGCACAACTCAAAGGCAGGGACTGGCCCAGATTTCAATTTGGGATCACAATGGGTAGTGAGGTGGCTACACTGTGGGTGTTCAATAAGTGTTCATAAAATTAGATGGTAGAAATTAAATATTCTATGATCAGAATGACTATGGTATCATAGAAGATTCCAGTATAACATAAATTTTAAGAGTATGGGCTGTGGAGTTGAGCAGACTCCCCCGACTTACTAGTTGTGTAATTCTGAGTTTTAGTTTCTTCATCTGTAAAATGGAGATATTCGTTGATAAAGATGAAATGATGTACTTAAAATGCTTTAAATGTGCCTGGTATACAACAATTGTTCTTCACCTTAATCGAAATTCAGGCAGGTCTCCGTTTCTGTACATACTGCTGTACAGAAGTGGGAATGCAATCCACTCATTTTCCCTTTTTCTATTTGCCACAGAGTCCAGAAGCATTTTATCACTCTCTTGTTAATTCCAAGTCATTGGTCTTCCTCCCTCATTAAAATAAGCAAAATAAACAAATGAGAGAGTATCTCTTCTACTTTTAAGCAAATATCATTTGACTAAAGAAACCTCTATCCTCCCCGGCCATTCAGGATTCAAACACCAAGTCATTTCCTCACTAAATATTCATCACTGTCTTCTCCATCCCAGCTCCTCGTTCTTGTGGAGAACTCATGTATTAATTATCTATTGCTGTGTCATAAATTAATTCAAAACTTAGTGGCTTAAAACAACAAACATTTATTACCTCACAGATTCTGGGGGGTCAGAAATTTGGAAGCAGCTTAACTGAGTGGTTCTGGCTCAGAGTCTCTCATGAAGGTGCAGTCAAGGTTTTGCTGGGGCTGCAGTCATTTGAAGGCTTGACTGGGGCTGGATGATCTGCTGCCAAGATGGCTCCCTCACATGGCTGTTGGAGGGAGTCTCTGTTCCTCACCTCAGACCTCTCCTCAGGGCTACCTGAGTGTCCTCACAACACACCAATTGGATTCTTCTAGTGCTAGTGAGTCAAAAGAGAGCAAGAAGGAAGCCATAACACCTTAGATCCTAATCTTGGAAGTCACACCAACATCACTTCCACCACATTCTATTAATTAGTAGGAGTAAGCCACTGAGTCTAGCCCACACTGAAGGGGAGGGGAATTATTTTCCACCTTTTGAAGAGAGGAGTGTTAAAGGATTTGTGGACATATTTTAAAACCATCACAACCCACAAGATGCTTTAAAACTTAAATCTTGACGAAATTTTCAAACACTCTCAGATCTGGCATGGCTTGTCACTGGCAAAGGAGCCCATTTCTACTTTTCATATCCTTCCTCATGATACACACATATATTTTTTTCATAACTTAACGCCTCTTTTCCTTTAATTAGTTTTATTGGCATAAATCAGGCAATTTATGCTGCATGGCCTGGCTTCTCCCTAAAGATGCTCAAATAATTTATTTTTTGGGGAATCTACCTACTGTGATGCTAAAGAAAGTAAATTCTGGACACTATAAGGTACCATAGTAATGATAATTACAGTTTAATGAGGGCTTGCTCTGTGCCAGGCATTTTACTAAGCACTTTGTACGTAATATCCTGTTTGATTACTTTACACTAATGCTATGAGGTAGATACAGAGTTACCAGATATCCCCCAAAACCTTTAGCCAAGATAAGGATAATGGTATGACTT